ACTCTCAGCCCAAATCCACCAGTGCCTCCTGCTACTTGCTAAACATTAGTAGAAGCAAGAGGGGGGGAAAAAAAGCAGTATTTTGACAGCCACAATTCCCTTCGTAGGTGGCATTTGTGTACTGTATTAACTGATATGAAACAGAGTCACTTTAATAGTCTGCATTTCTAGGATAATATTGTCAGAGTGCATAACAGGTAGTTATAAATAGTAGTAAATGAAACCTAGAAAATAAAGTCTGGAAAACTAGGTTAGCTTTGTTTGTTTCTCCCTCCATGATAACAGCATATTTGATCCAAGATTTCAGAGACCTGAATTTATCCATTCAAACATATGCAGTTTTACAGACATACACACAAAATAAAGTTTTGTTTTTCTGAATTCCAAGGATTCCCAAAGAACCTTTGCTCTTTTAGGGGCTTAAGCATCCCATTTTAACTTAACCCTCAACAAAACATCTAAACAAACAGGTAAAACCAGTGCATTTAAGTTACCTTAATAGTGTAGGTTTCACTCAAGTGTAAATCAACACCAGGCTCCATAACAAAACTTCAATGACAGTTTAGTCATTCTTCAAATAGTATTAGACTCTCTTTAAAATTCAGTTAAGACTTTTTAACTACAGGAGTCAGAATAAAATACAAATTACAGGGAGGAACTAGCTTGTAAGACATAATTCAGGTAATAAAATATCCACTGCATCCTGCTCAAAGCAGTATTTATTAGAGACAGAATCAAGATAAGTCAATGCATAACAAAGCTTTCCCTCCTACAAATATGTAAACAAGTTGACAGCAAGTTATTATTACAATATAAGAATTAAAGCTTACATTTCTTTTTTAAAGTTAACTTTAGTCTCAATACAGTCTCTGGTCTGTAGCATTAAAAATAAGTCCTTGAAAAATGTTAAGGTATTACCTTTACAAACATTTCTGTAGAAAAATACTTACAAACACCAGCTTCCCATACATAAAAGCAACAACAAAAATAAAACTTATCTTTTGTCATGAATGATAAATGTTAAATGCATCTAGTATTTACATCAGCATTCTCTTCACCCAAATTTGTTTCTGCTGATTTTAGAATTCATGATAATCACAAAAAAGTCTGTTATAATATTCAGCTACTTTCAGGTAGCAAAATCATCAGCATAAATGGGCTAATATTGGCAATTACTTTGTAATCAGTCTGGCCTTTATTTGTGAAGGAGACCGTCAATTTAATCCTTGTCTCAAAGTGTGAGTTTTGAAGTGTGCAGCAAGCCCTTGCTAAGAAATCAAGAGCCATTTCTGACCTATTTTGGAAAGGCTTGCAGCTGTCATATGATTTAAATACACATTGTAAGTACCTTTAATCTCTGTGGAAGTTTCTATTCTCAAACTATATTATCAGTTCCATTGGTGGTGGTCAATTTTGTGGAAATGCTTCCCCCGTAACAGTACACAATTTGACATGAACTATCTAAATTCAAAAAAAAAAATCAAAATAAAGTTAAGCCAAATTTTGTTGTTTAACATCAAGACATTTACTGCCAAGAGATGCATTGATCACTTTTGCAGCTGCTAAGGCAAAAAAGTTGGAATATTCCCTGTACAAAGTTTAAAAGATTGCATAATACTTAAAAAAAACAAAACAAAACAAAAAAACCCTCAAATCCAACAAGCCAAGAGAAATATATAACATTTGGATGAATTCAATCATACCATGGTGCCCTGTCAGGCATCTATTGACAGTGAACAGCAAAGAAGAAAATCTGATACCAAGAATGAACCGGTTACAGGGTAAATTCAACGACAAAGAATCAAGCTGTCATGGAAAAGCTTTACATTAGGACATTAAAAAACAGTTGGGAAAACACAAAGTGATAGCATTCAAGATGATATTAGCTGAAAGAACATGAATACATTTACACAAAAGCAATTATTATTATGAATACTGTCAGCATTCTTAGCCCCATGCATGTTTCATGAAAAAAGAGGGTATTCTTCCAGAAGTTGAACTCTTGGGCAAAGGGAGAGAGGAAAAAAATTAGAACCTATTCATTAGCATAGTGAATTTACAGCAAGTCATTTACCACATTTCCCATGTAACGAAACCAAGGCAAGAAATTCATATCCTACCATAATGTAGTAAAAACTCTGCAAGTGCAACATGGTATTAGAACAGAAAAATCAAAGGAACATATCTAGAGAAATAAGCTATATACCTTATACTAAAAAAGGATGAGTTACATAAAAATTATGTAAAGAATGAAATATTTTTAGATTAGTATTTTGACTTACTACATTTGGTATTCACAATGGAGTAATACTGCTGACAAAGCTGCTAGCTGGCTCATTAAACTGGCCTGTGACTACTCAGTTAAGTGACATGGTTAAATACCTTGCAGTGTTTTCCAAAACCTTCACTGTGGAACTAACCATGACTTTTGAGGAAAAAAAAAAAAAAAAGCAGAATTTAGTATTTGCCACTATAAGTAGCAGGTCATGTTTGAGAAAGGCAATAGCCTCCCATATGAAATAAGTACAACAGCTTAATGACCATAGTTGTGCTGGAGCCTAAATTTCTGTTCAAATGATCTTGAGCCCTTTAATTGTGCAAGTAGTACACCCCCTGAACAGCAACTAGCAACTACCTGACCCTGCAACAGGTATCTGCAGTTCTGAAAGACTTACCTTGTGCCTTCATACAGAATTCTGACCTCTTGGAAGACAGTTTTATTGCCATGCTTACAAAAAAGCCAGACAAAACACTTAGGCAGTGCAAGATGCACCACAAGTGCTTGAGAAGGATGCTTCACTAGAGAATAAGGATTTACAGATTCCATTTAAAACCCATATTATTCTAGCTTGCAAGGAGGACAAGACACAAGTACAAAAGTCTTCTCCCTAACTTCTTAATACAAAGGCATACAGATAATCTTACCTATCTATAGCTTTCCTACATCCAGTGAAACAGATGGACAGCACAAGCATTCCTGAAGCTCATGGGATGGACCATGGGCCATGGAGGTCACCTTCTTTAACATCTCCTCCAAAGCCCACAAAGACTTCTGTCACAAGTTGATTGTACTACCAAGGGAGAGATAAAACTCAGTACAGAAAGAGGGCAACCTGATTGCAGTGCTGTAAAACTCTACCGGGCTACAAAATTCCACTGAGTCCTGCCCAGCATCTCCAAGTACCAGACAGTAAGGTAGCCAAATGATCTGATAATCTGATAGCAGCAATTGCCAACTCCGCTGTACAAAGGGGCATGAACAGTGCCTTTCAACACCAGGTCACAAACCTGTTTTGGTTAGAGGATAGCATTTCCACACTATCCTCATTTGGGAGACAGCAGACTTCCTGCCTTCTGTACACTACTGTTTTGTATAAAAATAACACAAGCTTTGGCTTTGTAGTCAGAAACGGAATGTTGCAACTTTTTACTATAGTGTTTAAGTCCCTTGGCATGCTAGAAGCACTGTCAGCATTGTTAGATTTGTCCCAGACAATTGCACTTGATCTACAAATGTCTACAGGTCAGTAGCGTGATTCCAGTACAGACCAGCTGCATTTTCATCCACACTATTCAAACCCTTGTCCAGAGGAGGCTAGTTCAGATGCCAGTACACTGTAACAGGCCATTACAAGTCAGCAGTGAACTTGCTATAGGTCTTAAAAAATAAAATAAAATAAAATAAAAAAGCTGAAAAATCTGCAGCAGACCCAAGCCTGTTTAGAAAGTGCTTGAACATCTTAAGAAAGTGTTTAAAAGCACTACAGCAGACTTGGGAATGACTACCATACCTAGAGAAAGGTCTAGGGACTGGTGTCCATGATTCAAGGGTAACGGGCAACCACATGCCATTTTCCTTTTAAAAAAAGTAACATCATGTATGCTAATGCCAAATAATAAAATACTACCTACAAGGAGTAGAGTCTTCCCTCCCATCTACAGGAAAACTAGTCACATAGAAAACTTAAGTTAGTCCACCTCCGAGAAATACAGAAAATAGAACCAAAAGAAGCCTCAAAAGGTCCCTTAGTCTTACTATGCAAATATTAATGACGTGGGACACTAGGTTGTGGCATAGCTGACAAAGACTGTTAGAAAAAGCTATTTATATGTAAATATTTTAATAATAAAGCAGCAGAAAATACTACACAGCCAATTTTAGAACCAATGTATGATATGAAATAGACTTAAATATATACATGCATATATGTTCATACATTCTTAAGGTAATCTAGAGCAAAAATAACCCATGGCCTGAATAGTCAATCATATATGTGCCCTCATGTCAGCATGACTTCTATTTCAGAGCTGACAGACCTCAGGAACATGAGCAGCCTATCACTGGAATTGCTACAAGTGTCACTTACCACAACTAACCAAAAACTGACTTTGTAAGTCCTGTTACCTCTTTCTAGCAGAAGAGAGGGCAGGAAGGGAAACACCACACAAAACCCTGTAGTCCTGTAACACACAGAAAGGCACCTGATAATGTTAAGTGTTAGTAGCAGTTATCTACAGCATCTTACTAAATGGAGATACGCTTAAAAAGGACTATGAAATGGATTTGCTGGCATTCAAAGCGTAAGTCTAACCTACCTTAAAAGCCACTAAAATGACATGTAAATCACTAAGTGTGCAAAACTATGCAGTTTTGCATAAAGTGCTACACATACCCCCCAGTTTGCACCTATTGATCGTAAGTTTCTCAAGTTTGGAAATATGATGAGAGAAGATCTTAAAGGAAAGACTAGATCTAGTGTAACCTTTCCTTACCCACCTTCACCCACTGTCCTTTAAACAGGACATTTTTAAGTTACATTAAGTTATAGTCCTTTTCAAGAATTGTAGCTCAGAAAAAAATTTAGAGTATTCTTATCTTGCCATGTAAACTAGGAGGTCCTGAATTTGATGAGCTCCAAATATCTACAAAAGCCTCTGCTAATTCAATTGGACTTTTAACTACTTGGGTCTGTTAGTATATCTGGAAAAAGCTAGTTTTTTGTTATTCATTTAATTCTCATCTAATGAGCGCTGAAACTCATATTATAGCCTGTCCAGATTTGTCCAAATAACATGTAATTACATAAAAGCAGAGGAATACTTTATCCCACAGGCTCCTAAAACCCAAGTCCTCCCATATCTATTCATACATATTCATGATATGAATTACACACAGATCTTTAAAACTTGATGTACTGAAATTATTAGAATACAGTAGTTAATGCTTGCAAGCATTGTGCTGTACACTCAAAAATATACTGTAGGCCTCTTCTTTACTCTGTATTTCAGTGATCCATAGCGTATCTGATGAGAAAACAAAACAAAAAATTAAGACGATCACACACAGCTTATAACTACTACCATTCAGTAAATTATCTTATTGAATAAATGGAATGCCTAAAACATGTTAAAAGCCAATCTAGTTATGGTAGAAAGGAATCTTCAGTAAAACTGGACGAGCACGGAAAGGCTCATCTAAAAGTAAGATCTCTTAGGAGATTCATTACACATTTATTCTGAATAGTCTTTGACAGACACACACACACACACACACTTTGAATCCTACACAGAAACCTCCTTGTGGGTAAGTAATAGCAGGCAATATGGAATAGCATAGAGTATCTGCATAAACCAAAAAATTCAGAATAGACTTTCATCTGCTAAGCAGCACATACATAACTGTGCAATTAAGCCACTTGGATGCAGATGCTACCTACACCCCGGCCCAAGGGGAACAATTCCTGGAACCTGGGCTACCAGGTGCCAGTGTTAAGAAATAGATCTGTGCTTGTGCTGTTACCCTCCCTTTCCTCCAACCTGATTTTCCCCCTCCACGCACACAGTGCTTAAGCACCCCAAAGTGAACAGAGCTCTAAATCTTGATATTGTCACATACTCTGTTCTCCATTTGACATTCTACAACCCACATTTTTGATAATCTCCCAATAAACTAGAAAACACACTTTTAATGTCTGCTTTAAAAGCATCAAGGTACATTACTAAGCAAACTCAATACTTGAGTAATTTATACTTGCCTCCTTACGGCCTTTAATAGTTTTCACAGATTTCATGCTTTGAGACCTTCGAAGGCCCCTCTGAGCAAACATCTCATCTTCTGAATGTGTCCCCTCCATGTCTTCATCTGTTTTATCATCTCCAGGATTTTTTTCCAAAGGCATTTTGTAACCTTTAAAAAGTAGTTGCATAAAGCTATTTAATAGGAAATAACTAACTTTTAGATTTCTAGCGAAAGCCATGAGCTCATCTTTTAAAACAGAGGTTTCATCTAAAGAATGTACCAGCCTGTCAGCTGTCTGGAAGGAAACAGAATGCAGTTTCATGCTTGCTTAAGTCACTTAAGAGCTTAAGTCACTGTAGTACAGGATTAATGCAAAACACTATCCCCAGCAAGTTTGCATCAGTCTTCAAACCAAAATGGTTCCAAGTTTCATGTTATTTGTTACTTAGGAAGTACCATGTATCTTTTTTGGAGGGAATTTTTCAGTAGCATGTCTCAATTCTCTGAAGAGACATTAGTTGAAATACAAGATGAAAACTAGGAAACCTTAAAGCAACAGGGTTCCTCATGATACACCTTCCATTCCATGTAAGCATAGTTAACATTAACTGATTACGCTTCTTTCCTCAACCTTGTTCTCCATTCCTCCTTTCCCACCCCTAAGGAACAAATCCTAACCTTTCTACTTAATTTCTCCCAATTACTGCCAGAGTTCATTTCAAACTCCTAGTTTAGGATCTAGGATTAGTTTTTAGATCTTTGAGTATCTTTCCTCATATTCACATACTTCTGTAAATACATTTAATATCAAAGTTCACTTCAGATAGATACAATCCCGAAGTGTTATTTTTAAGGGTAATTTAAGTCCTGCAAATCAGGACCGAGATTATTACCAGAGACTCTCACTAGAGGGTGCAAACTACTTAAAAATAGGTGCTGAAGAGATTGAGGCTCATAAAGGCCCAGTCTCCTCTCACCAACATACTGTAAGGCCCTCTGCAAAGGGGTCTGTTTTTCACACCCAGGCCTCACTTAGAAAATCATTCCTGAGCCTATGGGGTCTAACACTTAGACATCTTTTAGACTTCCAAAAGGGCAAAAAGGGGAAGAAAAAGAGTCAAAGTTTTTTTTAAAGAAATATCAACCTTTTTACATTTTAGCCTCTTAGCTAAAAACAGGACAATCAACAGATATCCACTGGAGTCTCTTTTAAGCAGAGATTCAGTACAGTGCATTAATAAAGTAAAATATTTGCAGAAAAAATTTACTCTGCAGGTTGCTGCACAGTTGTTTGAGTGTTGACACACAGTCTATTATGACAGCTAAACGCTTTCATTCTCCCTATCATCTACCCATCATTAAGTTTTACTTCGGCTAGTAATTCTTGTTACTAATTGTCAAAAATAGGAGTAACGAGTCAGGTTTGACCTCACTGTTAGTGGCTGCGAGAAGAAAGTAATTTTGGAGCTATTTCTCAAGCTATGCAGTATATTATCCTGCTCATATTAACACTGTTCAAATATGCCCGAGTCCTTTGGAACCCTTTACCATTTCTAGGCAGAAAATATACTCCTGTTCTTCCCCATGTGCCTTTCATGCACATTTTTATAGTTAGACCCAAATCCTTTGTTTTTGCACCAACACTTACCTGCAGATTCACTTGTAGAGGCTCTGGTTTTCCTTTTTGTTTCTGGCAGTGTTTGATAGGGTCTCTGGCCCACTGGCTCATCTCCTTGTATAGTGGTCAGGTCATGCATACTGAAACTTCTCAGCTTCTCGGTTATTGCACCTTGACTCTGAAATAGAAGAGTGTCTTCAAAAATATGTTTTTGACTTCACTATTCAAGCTGGTTTAAGAAGGTTATATCCTTTTTTTGGGATATTAAAAAAAAAAAACTCTGAATACAGGCATGCAGTAAGTTTAACATTTCCTTTTACTTGAGCTTTACTGCACATGACTCTTGGGGGGGAAGAACAAAAATAAGTTCAGAGCTTAATTTCTAATTTCTCACTTCACTCCTTTAATCTTATCAAATAAAGGTTAGGTGGTGGTAGCAGGGAACATTTAAAGCTACAAAAATAAGTGTTCAATACACTTCAAGCATCATATTTCTGAAGTAGTGCTAAGTAGTATAACCATGGTTTTAACATTTCCCTTAAAAAATATGGCTAAAAAAATCTCTGCAATTTATATTTTACTTTCCATAAATCTGAATAGGTATAAGAAAGGAGACTAGCATTAAAAATACAATGCAGTACTAAACCAAATAACTAAAAAACTTGCAGCACTATAAAATCTCTAGGTGACAGAAAACTTGAAATCATAAACCACAGATTTATGGACTGGACTACAAGTAAGCAAGCTTGCTTACTGAGAGATCTTTATTAACATAATAAAAGCTTAAAAATCTTAGTATTACATACAAGTATAATTAATCCTTTTTCAACATTAATATTCCTTATCTTCATCTACATCTCTTCTGCATGGAAGCTACAGGGATTCTCCCTTTAGAAAGGAGGTTTGTCAAACATTTATTTCATCTTGTATCTAATCTTATTATTAAATGCTACAGATTAACTTCATACTATTGTATGAAGCAATATAAAGAACAAGTACATTGCTCAGTGTCACATTCAAGTAATATTTCATTCTTCTCTCTTGCAAAGAAAGCAAAAATCGCCACTTCAGAGCCAGGATAACCTGTGTATGACTTCCACCTTGAAGGAGGCCTTGTGATCCTTTGGATTTTTGTTTTATTTCATTCTTTAAAAGTAAACATTTGTGTAAAACTCATTTGAACGCTAGCAGGAGTCTGCTGGGACAGAATTCCTGCCACCTTTCTTGGCAACAGCATCAGCCTAAGGCAGTTCTTGCACCACTGGCCCTCGCCATTTGTTCCTGTTTTTGAGCTGACAGCTGCTTGCAGATGGTAGGCCAGCACACCAAGCTCACCCCTGCTAAAAACAGCCACAGAGCACAGAGATACTCCCCAGGTTTGCACAAAGGGTGCGTGGGGAGTGCCTGAAACCAAATACTCATTTTCTAATGACCAGCCTTCTAATGACCAACACCAAATTAAGAGTGTTCTATACAGATGAGAAGGATGTAATTTAATTCTTACCTCAGTCACTCATTGCAACTAAACAATTATGCAGATTGTTTTCCTCATGAGGGAAGCAGAGACCTTGACTCTTCTAGTTCTTCCTACACATACATGCACTCACCGAGGAAGACTGACAGTTCTCAGCACAACTGCAGTTTCTGGCTTAGAGTTACTACATTTTGTTGACACTGCACAGGCTGTGCATAAAGTTTGCTGGAAGTTCTGCAGTTAGCTTGCTTTCCTGAAACACCTTATTCAACAACTCACTGCTTTAACTGACTGCCACTTCCCAAACACTAAGTGAACTTAAGGCCAGTCTGTCACTACAAGAGGCATCCTGCTACTCCAGTTCTTGCACAAAAAGGCATTTGCATTTTAAACTGAATGAGGAATCAACTATGCTTGAGAACTAACATGCAGCTGTGAGGACACATGAAAAGGGCCAGAACTGCTTCTTTTGACAGCAACCATCTGTGTACAACATTTGCTGCAGAGTTGTTCAGTCTGCATGCAATGCTGGAAGAGACATCAGCCCAGGCTGAGCCCCCGAACACCAATCGATACCTGAAACAGACCCACCCAGCTCCCAACAGAATCCATAAGGATTCAGCACAACTTCACTTGCTTTAAAACTGGAGGAAATCTACAACTTTGTGACAGAAGCAGATTTGGCCCTAAACAAGGTACAGGAAAAAGATACAATTGCATAATGGTGGCACAGCAAGTTTGTTCATCAGGTGATGTACTAGAGATAGTCTGATGGAGACTGTGTAGCAAAACACCATTAAGATAATTAGTGTGCTAAGAAGAATTCAAGTTACAAGCCTGTATTCATTGTTTCTCACTGGGGATCCAAGGGATTGCAGCCTAGCTGGGAACGTTCAACCTTGCTTCTTCAATGCAGCCTTTGCATAGCAATTTCACTTCCCAAGGAGAAAAGTCAAACTGCAGCCACAGAATCACGCTGTGCCCTGAGCCAAACTGCCCAGCTACGGAGGTGAGAGCTGCCGGGGAACACTGCCTCTTTCAATGAGGGCGGCACAGACGGCGCCTGCGTTCCGAGAGCACTTGCCAAGATGGAAAGTTTCACTCGAGTCATACATGCAGCAAATGTTAATAAATTTTTTTAAAAAACACACTAAGATGCAGCACATACACCCAACAGTACAGATATGAGGGCTCTGCATCCACTGCTGTACTGCATAGCACCACCCTGTGCAAAAAACCCCAATCTCCTCTGGTCTTGAGGCACTCTCTCCATCTCCACTGAAGCCCTAGGAAGATCCAGCCTAGCCAAATCAGGACAGACTATGCAGGGTGTGCAGGATTCAAAGTAGGATTCAAAGTAGGAGACAAGTTTCAAGTTTTTACAAGCCACCAATCTCCTAGAACATTCTGGGCAAGCCTGGGGAAGGTTATTCCATCACCAAAGCCCAGAAGGAACAGAATTACTTTCTGTTGAAACTAAGCTTTTCTGAAGGTCTGGAGCCCTTGCAGCTTGGAATGAAAGCCTGTCTGAAAAATACCTCCGGATACCTCAGAGCCTCCGGAGCACAGAGCCGCCATGTGCAGCTTGGAATGAAAGCCTGTCTGAAAAATACCACAGGCTCCACAGAGCCTCCGGAGCACAGAGCCACCACGCGCAGCGCCTGCATTCCCAGCTGCGCTCCCGGACCTCGGCCGATCCCCTCCACATCCACAGAGGGGATGGGTGTCCCGTGAAGGAGCTCCACATGGGCCAGGGTCCCCGCAGGGAGTGGAGAAAGTGGCAGAGCCCAAGGGAGCTGCTGGTCCTGACACTGCCACAGGCCACGGCGGGAGACCGCACCGAGCCGGAACACCAACAGCATCAAGCCAAGCAGCAGATCTAGAAGGATCATGCAGCACCAAAACACCTGCCCTCAAAAAAGAGCTTTTAAACACTCAAGATCTTTAAATGATAGTAGGTGTGACCTTGTATAAAAGGATAACTCTTTTCACAGCTTAGCTCATTTTCTCACAAGTGCTGAAACTGGTTTTCTCTAGTAGCCAGAAATGCCAACAACGAGGACACATAGGCAGCTCACATCTTCCAGGACCTGGGAATCAGGTTTCAAACATTAGGGCAACTTGGCTTTCTGTGAATAAGCTCTATCTGTGTCTGACAAAATTCCACACAGGTGAGCTGAAAGAACTTCAATAAGTTTCATATCAGCAACAAGATCCTTCCCATCTATGATACTTAGCATATTTCAAAATACCATTTCAAGTGGTGCCTGTAAAACAGCACAGCCAGTGCAGTCAAGCCAAGTAATCATGTTGCAAGCAGTTTAAAAAAAAGGGAAGAACAACTTTATGATTGGAAGGTATTGTTTGGAGATGCTTTTAATGCGAACAGTGGCCAATACCAGCCCCAAAGCGTCATTACAAGACAAAGAGAAGTCACTGCTGCTGCCCGCTACGTTTCAGCTGCGCTACAAGGGAGCAGGTTTAAGTCTGTGACAGGTTTTGGCAGACAGCCCTGGGCTGCGGGTGCCTGCGCCAGCCAGCCTTTCCCCACTATCCCGCATGCCTTCGACAGCCCCGGAGAAAAGCATTTTTGCCCCCACTTGTCATGATGTAAATACTCCAGAAAGTTTACAGGTTAATTCTACTACTCTTCTAAAAGCAGGCAGAGCCCAGTGTCCTTTCCTTGGACACTGCAGTGAACAGAAGCTTCCTTTGCATCTCCTCTTGCACGTGCCTCTCTGTCTCAGCTCCTAATTTGAGAGGCAGCCTGTGAGAATAAGCATGCCTGTGCCACCCAAAAAAGAAAAGCGTCAACTGCACCTCTCTCCCATCAGAACTGTTTCCACTAATAGGATTCCATTCCTGAAACCCTATAGCACATTGCACCACCCCCTGCTGAAGGGATAATCTTTTCACCTGCTGGAGGCAGCAGTCAGCCCTTGGAAAAATAGGGAACCAAATCAACACCACATGCGCCGTCTCCATTTGCGTGCACAGAACAGCCACACTCAGCTTCTTGGAATGACAAACTGAAGAGAGGTTTAACATGCCAAAATAAAGTGTTTTTTTTTTTTTTAAACTCTTCTTTTTAACAATCATGTCTATTTTAGGCAGAAAAGCTACCACAATACCAAACACTTAAGTGTCTCATCTGCACTAATTCTGTACAAATATTCATGAGCACATTTAACAAGTTTTAGCAAATAGGGCAGGTATCTTTCCAGTCACAGCTGAACAGCAATGAAATCCAAGCACGGACGATCAAATGTTATTTGATCAAATGTTATTTGTTACTTCAGATGAAGGTGGGAGGACATATGCATGTTATTTATTTTATAGTATTTATGTAGCACTAAGGATTAACAGGGAAACATCCACCTTAGCCAGCCAGACATGGGGAAAAACACACAGAGCATAAGTATCATTACAGGTGCACAACCGGTATGTTACAATTGCTGTTTGGCAGAAAAATAGCATTTTTAGTATTTAGAATAGCCCTGTTCTCAGATTCGAACAGCAGCATACCTGCGTAAGATGATTTTTTAAAGGACCTATTTTCGTGTTGGACACTATTATTCCGCTGGAGGCATGCTCTATTGAGAGCCTGAATAATAAATAAAACCAGTGACCAAAGTGAAGCACGCTTCCAGTATTTCAAGCTCATTATATCCATATTTTAAACAGATTCGTTATTTTCAAGCTACTGCCCACACAAGTTTAAGAGAGAAAGTACACAAAGAATGGCCATGATTTCTTTCAAATCTTCATTTTGAAATAGCATTTGAAGACATAGTTCTTAAACATCTTTGATTTATAAGGCAAACTAACATACAACACAGGAATTTCTTAAGTTAAACACTAACTGTTCTTTCTTATCTGTGACAGGCTAAGATCTCTACATTGCTTCACTGCTTCAATTAAGAGCTTTCAAGTTTCAGTCCTGTTACTATGAACACACTTACATTTGTTTCCAGGAGGAAATCAGCCCTGACATGCTTGAAACTATCAAGTAATTAGAACTTAAGTGCCCCATACTTCTTGTTTTAAATTGAGTATTCCATAGGACACACATTATAAACGACTAACTACACTGGCCAGTTCTACTCCTTTTGGTGGGTCACTAGTTGCTAAAAAGCTTTCTTATGAATTTATTATTTGTTTTCCTTGATCTAGAACCACCTGAAATTCAACTGAAGACCATTAGTTCTTTCAGAATTCAAATCAGGAGCAACCAGAGATTATTTCACTTTTGGCTTTAATGGAAGATACAAGGCAAAGCAAGATGCAAGCTTAAGCTCACCACACTAATTCACTTGATTTCTATCAAGTTGCAGGCAAGTTAATTGAGTCAATGCAACTTTTTATCTGTGGTAGTCATCTTCCATGCCTTACTTCAGATACACAGTTACCTTAAGTTGACTGGAGGAAAACACCAGAAAGAAGCCCGAAATCCTATAAATAACTTTGGTTACTGACAGGAAAGCACAAAGGAAAAAGAAACCATGATCATATTTGCTAACAGTCTGCAGAGAAAAATGCATGGTATCTGTTGATTCACCATAAGTCAATTCCCATCAAACAAGTACAAAACAGTTTAAATATATGTAATATGAAGAGGACTATAGTGCTGCATTCTCTATTTTCCATGTTTCAGTATATTTGCAGAATTAATCTCTTCCTTGAGAAAGAGCAAATCCTCAAATCCCTTACTTTGCCCATTAAGTATAATAAGGACAAAAGGAGTTAAGAGAAGTAAAGAGCTACCTTCACAGCTGCTGTCACTGCAGCAGAGGCTGCTAAATTCAACCCTTGTCTTCCAAAATTCACCATGGTCTCATAGCCTTTTTCTTTGGCTTGCACAATATATTCATCAATCTCCTAAAAGGAAGAGAACAAATTCAAGTTTCAAAGGGCTTTCAAAAAAAAAAAAAAAAACACATCACTTCTCACTGACAGGAAATACAGTGGAGATAAGAAATTTTCAAGGAAATATGTTAAAGAATAACTAATCTGCTTTTGTATCCTGGAGAATTCAATTAACACATATATATCCCCTTAAAAAAAAAAAAGAAAAAAAAAAGAAGAATTTCTTGGAAAGAGTTGGATCACAGAAACCAGAGCACTGACATAGTTCAGTACCCAGGACAATATAGTCATGATTTGTCTCCTTCATACTGAATACCTGGAACTGGATATAACAGCTTCAAGGTAGTTCACAATAGCTAACAGACTAGTGAGATGAATCCCTTTGGCTTATGAAGTCATCAGCAGTTTGCAGGTCAGCCTTCATCACGTCCAGATGACATTACACCCCCCTTCAGTACCAGCAGGGCTTGCGTCAGTCGCAGGATTCCCAAGGCCTGGCACTAACAGGTATGGACACCACGCTGCTGCCAGCATCTTCAGGGCAGCCTGCACACCTCTGCTGATCACTGTCCCACAAATCCAAAATCAACAGAGAGCCACCCAGGCAAGTCTGTGGCTAAAGCTACTTCAGCTGGTTTCTGTTTTCAGCTGGTTTCCCCACATAGCTCAATCTCTTTTCAGTTTGCACACCAAAAGTCATCCACATTGTTCATCCTGCTCATTGCTTTATGACAAGGTTAAGCTTACCAGCATACGGTGTTTCCACACTAGGCATTAGTATACAAGACAAGTTCTTACCCTTTCTTTAGAAGAGAGAAGAGGATGAAGAAGTTTCCTGTAGATTAAACTTGCTCCTCTTGTATATGGGGAAAGGAGCCAAACAACAAAAGCAATCTTCAGTTCATAATACAGTGGAAACCTACAGACAGATTAAGTTGCACATTATCAATAACTGCAGTAAGAAAATGCACACTAGTTCACATGAGGCCTTTGCAAAAAAGAACCATCAAATGTTAGCACAAAGTTCTTCAATTATCAGAGCCTATACAGGACAAAACATTCAAGTTATTTACAAATTTATTTTTAAATTTAATACATCACCCAAAAAGAAATGGATAACAAACCTCCTTTGCTTTACAGTCCTGCACAGAAAAAAAACCCACAAAAGTGATCCATTTATGAACTCCATTCTCCTATTCTGATTCTTACAGAGGATTATAAACGTACAAAAAAACTGCAAGGGGGTTCTACTCTATGTAGAAGAGCTTTATCTGTGAAAAAATATCTGCAAGTGCAACTTCTTTATAAAGATTAAATCAGTACAAATGAAAATACCAGAAACAAGTATACCTACATCCAAAGTTAATAAAAAACAGACTTACCAGGAGACTGTTAGGTCAGTTATTGTTTCAGTAACTGTATAGAGAGCAAACACAATCCAATACATCATCCAGCGAACCTGAAAATTAAAACAGTCTTCAGTAAGAACTGCAATTTCAGTGTTTCACAGAATACACAATACACTATGGTTCATCAGTGCATAGCTGTCAGAGCAAGACATTCAGTATCACCACAGTCTGTATCAAATAGCTTTCAAGTGAAATTATATAAAGATCCCAGAGGGTATTTTCCAGTGGTAGGAAGAACTGGTGGCAGCTGCAACAAGCTAAATGAAACAGCCTGGTCATCAGGGTCACAGCCTCACCTAGCCTGTCTCCCCATTCCATCTCCAGCATGCTCTACTAGTGGCAAGGGAAGCCCCACATGCAGAGACAGCCAGCCCATCAACACACATATGAAGTCTAATTCCCACCACATGCCCAAGACTTCACCCTTGCACACCCCTCCATTCACCTATAGCATACTCAAGCACTCAGCGTTAGTAAAGCCAAGTAGCCTCTGCTTTTATAAATGAATAAGGCATGTTGTGCTCTGCACAAGAGTTCTACATGCACAAGAGGCATTTTGACATTAATACAGAGGCTAGGAAATAGGAAAGCATTTCCACTGAACTTCAATCCTATTCTTATTCCAAGAATCATGACATTCTTGTTAATAAAAAACTCACATCTAAGTGTCTTGGAGAAAGATAGACACATATACCCCAAGGCATGCAGGACTTTCATTGTACATCACTGTTTTGGAAACAGATGACACTGATTTGTTTAACTGACTATTTGGTTCTGTTTTCTATTTAATATTTCTTGAATATCTGTTCAAATTTGAGTTTAGATAGATTGCTTCTTTCAGAATAAAGACTGCAGAAGCAGTCCCATGGATTTTTCTAGAAGACAAGTGACCAACAATAGTACATTTCCAAAAAAAGTCAAAATAGGTTGATGCAAACTACTGCTGTGTTTTTCCAGATACTACACACTAAACCAACATTTTTGTAAATTCAAGTGCTATCGGTGTTGAAAAACAAAACGGTAAAAGCAAGATGTCACCTGCAACCAGACACAGTATGTCACCTGCAACCAGATGCAGTATCTGCTTCATTTGCAATATACAGATTATTAATTCTTTTGGCCTATACTCAAAGTATTAAACACCATATACACTAAACATGAATTAAAGTCCTAATTTCACATTATTTTTTGCAAAAAGATTAACTAGTTTCCTCACCCTGAGCATTGTTCAAATATAGTCTACGCTTCAAAGCTATCTTTCTTTGAAGTGAACTTACAGAAGTGCTCAAAACCTTAAGCCGTACTGCTGCCTATTTCATAGCTTGGCATTACACTTACAAACTACCTCCTTGGTCACTTGAGACCCATTTATCTTAAATAGTTTTCCGCATTTCAATTTGAAAAGAACCTCAGTCATGTGATGACATTTTTCACTTCAGTCACTCAGAGGATTTAGATATTTTAGGCTTGAATAAGCTAAAACAAGTGTACACAACAGCTGAAGTCATCACTGACAGAACATGTGACATTTGGACTGGTGACCCTTCTGTGAACCACAGGCCACACCTGAGCAAAAAATAAAGTTAATATCCACCCTCACCCCATCATGTTATACAGTACATAGTTATATGAATTATTACGCTTTTACACCCATGCTACTCTTTCTAGCTTATTTAGAAATTTAATAAAAATAAAAACTTTACCTGGAATATTTGATCAGGCATAACATACAGGACACATTTCAATGAAGTATATGTCATGTCTGAGAAACATACGTCGGCGTTTTGAATAGTTCAGTATTGCCACTGCACTTCCATATTTTTTATATTTAATATTCAGAAAGGGATATCAAGCTTCCATTATTTATTACATTGCATAATGAAATTTCACAGTTGCATGACAGCAGAAACATTTAATTAAGCAATTAAGAGGAACAACTTACATATTCCTTCACATTTTTTGTCTTCACAGCTTTGTACGAGTAATAAGCAGGATACAGCATCCCAAAGACGAGCCTTTTGGGAAATAAAGAGTGCTTTTAGAATCTGTTATGTTGTACATGGCAAAGTGGCAACACATTACCCAGATGCCACCAACTCAAAGAAACCCACTGTTTCAGAGATTGGTGGAAAAAAAAAATCACAACATTATAGGCTGTTTGAAGTAAATCTGGTAGTACACAAGAATCAAGCAGCACCAACAGACGAGGCTGTAAGCCCCTGCAGGCCACGTGCATTTCCCAAGTCTGTCTCAAAGTGTAAAACCAGTGGCCCTTCTGGTTCAGCTACAAGCAAAACCAGCCCAGCAAAAGACTCCTTGAGCACAAGCAGTACCACTACTAGCTATGCTACATGACAGAGCAGAGTCATTAGAGGGCTCTTTCAAATCCCTCATGGCATATTTAAAATGAGTTTGGTTTTTTTCTGAAGTCCAATTCTGCTTAATACATTAAGTATATGCTATAAAGCAGGGCAAGAGGTCTCCGGCCACCTATGCTGAGGAGCAGAAAGATCCGCTTTAATAATAGGTTTGTTGCTACACAGCACTTGCAACTAAAGTCTTGGTCAGAGTGATGGAGCAGTTCTTTATGATAAAGCGAACAGCAGCAGTTGCCATCTCCTTGGCACATGCAAGAACTCCATATTTTTGCTTCCTTAGGTAGTTATACTCTGCAAAAGTTAGAGCTAAGGGCAGGCAGCTGCTTAACTAGTACAAAGCAGCAGTAACAGAAGTCCGACTAGGTCCCTGCAGCGTTGCCTCCGTCCAACATGTTCAGCATGGTTATGTGGGACAGGTTCATACTTCTAGCAATCTGTAAAGACTGTTTAAGAAAATGCAAAACTCAGTGCAATGTGAGAAAAACAAATCATTTAAAAAGAAGATGCATCACATGTTTTCAAGAAGAGTACAGCAGGGGCAGATCAGGCATGTAAAATTTCAACCCAAATGGTTAAAGTTCCCTAAGGTTAGTAGATAAAGAAAAAGGGGGGGGGTTATAGTTGTCATGTGCCTTTATGTTGTTCCACCTGTTTCACCTACAGAACACTGTATGATGCAACCCACTTATTTTGCTGTCAGGCCCAATAAAGAAGTATAAGAAGTTGCAGCCTTGTTTTACTCCCACCTCCAACTGCTCCAAGAGCCTTCATTTCCTACCAGACGTTGCTTGCAGAGACAATTGCACAGCCTTCCTGCTATTCAAGACAAAGCACCTTTGAGTTCAACCCGTGGGACATACCCTGCCTTCCAAACACCTCTCTGCAGCACAGGTCACATACCTGACTAGTTAGGAAAACTGTTTTGAATACCATCAGGCACCTCCAACAGCAAACACACAGCACAAGTGAGAATAAAATATGAAATTGTTAATAGCAATACCAGGACTTTCCAATATCAGCAATACCATAGAGAAGGTTTCTCTATCTTTAATGCAGGAAACATCTCCAGGCTGTACAAGCCCATCCAGACTCTACTCACAGATCATGTGCTCCAGCCGTGCGACTGCCTTGGTGGCCTCTAGCCTTCCTCAAGATAGCCACCATCTCCCTTGTACCCAGCAGCCCCAAATTACATACAGTCAAACGCATAAATCCTACATCTAGCTTCCATCCTCTCCACAGCACAAAATACATATTTTCCTTAGCTAAAAAAAAAAAAAAAAAAAAAAACCCACACACACACACCACACACACAAAAACAAAACAAAAACAACAAAAAAAGAACAAAACACACCCACAAACCACACGATAGGAGTCCTGTAAGAGAGAGCTCGTGTACCGCATCACTGTTACACCAATGCACACTGAACAACAAAACTGACAGACTGGCAGTTTTGTTCAGCAGTGCAATATGCATGATAAATTAAGGCATGAATTCATGCTGCGGTTTATAATCTAGAGATGCATGTGCAGCATTGCCATCAATGTTAAATTGGAGCCAAAAGATTATGGTTCCTCAGGCACTTTAAGTCTAGGCTAAGCTGCCACTTTGCTACAGGAGACCTTACCTGCAAGTTTCACATGTGGAAATGCTTCTTGAAAAAGCCCTGCCTACTTGAACTGCAACTGGGCATACCAATCTGTAGACACCCACCCAAACAACAATTTATCACAATCCAAAGACCTTTCATTCTCAAATCAAGGGAAGCACCAGTTAAACCCCTGCAGAATTTTCTTCTGCCCAATTAGAAGAAAATCCTGACAACATGATTTAAGAACTTCACTTCTCCCCAAATACACAATATCTGAGAACAGCAGTTTTTTTTATTATTTCGAACACCCTTATTTGGATGGAATTCTGCAGACAAGAGCTCTTCCTCTCTTTTGTCCCTGGGGAATATCCTGTTCAGCAGCCCAGCTCTAATGGCTTTCACCTTTCCTTGTTCTTCTGGATAAAATTACAACCACAAAATATCAGAGATAAAAAAGCATCATTAGACTTTGATGGTGAAGTTTCTTTCACTAGAGGAAAGCCACAGAAGAGGCATCTGAATATCTCAGCCACTAAGCTACTGGGCAAGTGTGCACCTCATTCGGTTTCTCAGAAACAGCCTCAAGTTATTCATAGAGTTACTAGTGACTATATGCATAAATATCTTCCTATGAGGCCTAGGAAATAAAAACAGTTTCAGTATCAAATTCTTTGAATCAATTTGTCAGGCTTTGGGGAAAAAAAAAAAAAGAGGGGGGCACAGGGAAGCACTATATTTTTCTGTCCATGCTACCCTCAGTATTGCTTTTATTAAACAGTCAATTTCATTCTTCATTTTAAACACCAACTTATGCCTCAAGCATGACATTATGTATCTTATAGAAAGAAATTCTAACAGAATGGAATTTCTTGAGAACACTACTTCTGAAATAACTGATCTTCAAGAAGAAAGGTGGTTATAGCTTAAAGATTCTCTTATTATTACCAAGTTAAAAAAGTCCTTGCAAGTTAGGAGAGGGGATAGCACAAGAAAACACCGTAAGTTGGTAGGAAGGACTTCGTAGTTGACCACCTCTGATTAATACTTATCTCCAAACAAAGAGATGGAAAAATCCAACTCTTACTTCATGCATAAATGACTCGTTTATGTCTGAGAATATTACAGATGTCATGAAAACCTCAAATTGGAAAGTGCATTTGTTTTTGCTTAATCCTCACCATACGCATGCATGTGAGAGGCAGATGAAAAGCATAAAGGCAGCTGAAATACAGCTAGCTTCCACCAGCCAACAGTTTGCAGGCTCTGATAAGAACTGAGACAGAATGAATTAAGGCGGGGGAGAAAAAAAAACAACAAGGTTATCAATTTTTACTACTTATTTTTAGCATTCTTCTAGAATTCATTATTAAAACCAAACAGCAAGAAACTCGAGTAACACAGTATGCTGTTATTTATTAGTGTGCAACACTGCTATAACATGGAAGTGTTACTTAGTCACTTGCCCAGTGACAGGGTACAACTAGCTTTTCCATCTCCTTCCTTCTCTGACACCAAAAGGGTAAAGAACAAATAATAATAATAAAACACATTTAGCCAGTAATATTAGAAACTAGTTATTGCCGTGTCCAGAGCTGACACTAAGCGTGAACAACTCTGCTGCCAGCTCCGCTATCACTAACTCCTTCGCAATACGTAGCCTACTCTTCGCTGACCTTCAGCTGCACTCATCAGGCAAATTCAGCTTTGCCCTCGAGCATTATGCCACACACGAGTACACAGACACCACAGTGAGAGAGCTCGCTGGAGCTGACTGAATATTAAAGGCAGAAAAGCAGAGAGCAGCAGAAGGAAGCCTTGGCGCAATCAGCATCACTGTCATGGCTAAGACAGCACGGGATCTTCAAACAGCTTTCCTGTTCAGGCAGATATTGAAAAGCCCGCAGTTTTTAACACCATCTACTGCCACACTCATGCATCCTTCTCCTGGGTATCTCTCATCACGTAACCATACAACACGCTTCAAGACTGTGCGAATTTAATAACTTCAAGGTATATATTTCTTTTTTTAAATGCAGTCTGTACTTCACAGTGGATATGAGCATACAGTCAGCTCCTAAAACTGCAAGCAGATTTCAGCACTGCTATGTCATTTACTTTTGTTCACTAGCAGACACACAGTTAATCGTGCTTACCAGGGCCATTTCAGTGCCAGTTACACAAATAGCCGTTTCAGCTTTTCAGCTGTATTCACCAACTAAAGCAGCATTCCTTTTCTGGAAGGCCACTTCCTTCGAAGAAACTTTGCTCATTTAAAGAGAGGTATTTCTCAAATATTTTAGAGGATTAAAATCAATTAGCAAAGGAAAAAAAGCCTTTTTTTTTTAAACCATGTATGTGTAGAAGAAACATAATTTTCTGCCTTAATTATTACATAATCCAGTCTTAGCTTAAATCACTTTAAAGTGCATGACTTCAACAATCACTTCAGAAGCAACGCACCCAGCTTTGTATTTGACTGATACAAAAAAAGTAAGAGCCATAAGTACTCCTTGATAGTAAAAGCTATTAAGGAAGACAATTCAGTATGAAATTCAGTCAGTGTTATTTACGTCCTTACCCAGGCTGCTAACAGAGGTGACACCAATTTGGCCACCCCCTGACAGAGCGAAGATCTTGGCACAGAGCGATACAGAGATCTTAACTGCCCTGAAGTATCTACGCATAGACTAGGTCTGATCTACAATTCCTATTCCATGTCATAGTATTTATTCTAATCAAGATTCCTTTTAAAGGGGAACTTTCCTGGTGCAAACTAATTGCCAAGATGAAACGTAGTCTCAAGAGGAATACTTGAAAATTCTGATGGCTGTTCTTTAAGTCTCTTCAGCTATAAGGCAGTAAATAATCTGTTTAACAAAGCTATAACTTGTTAACCACCTCTGTATAGGAATCTCCTGCTCAAAAACAAGCAGTTTTTTTTTTTTTTTTTTTAAGAACCCTATCTGGGGGAAAGAAAATCTGAATGTGAAGGTACAAGCGAGAGTTCCAGTCATGCTCTTCTCAAATGGTTAAAGGGACATCGAGCCAGCCAGTTCTGAGATTTTAAGACAAGCTTAAACAACATTCAGGTTAACATTTTTGTCTGGATGTTTTCAAGAGGCTCTCCTCTAGAGGAGGACTCTCACCAACACCCAACAGAACTATGTATCAGAGTAATCCACGCAAGATATACTTGGATAGAAACTTTAATCCAATACAAGGATAGGGGAACACGGTGAGAAACTCCTGAATTTTACACCAAAATACCTTTTTTCCTCCCCCCTCCTGTTGGGGGTGGTTGGGAGGGAGGGGAGCAGGTAGGGAGGGAAGAGGGGGAAAGCAGAGGGTACCACATGAATCTTATGAAGTTAAGAGTAGCAACACTTTAGGAACTATCAGGAGATTTATTTATTTATTTTTTACCAAAGGGCAAGAAAGTAATCAGAAACAGATCTCCTAAAAACCTCCATAGCAATCTTCATCCCACAATTACATAGGAAAAAGAGCAAGTTGTAAAATTCAAGAATCACTCCCTCAAACACAACACTACATACATTCAGAAGCAGAACAAGCTACCAAACCTTCAGCTTAGCAAACTGGAATTCTCCAAAGTAGCTGCAAGCTTTTTTCCATAAATACCATAATCAAAACCAGCACAATTATTCAAGTATTCAGAAATCTTCTTGAAGTTTAATGTAAAAGTTGACTTCACTAACAATCCCTTTAGGAAAGGGGAGGAAGGGGGGGGGGAAAAGGAGTGCTTCCCATTGTCAGGAACATTTCTTTATTAAGTCCTATGCAACTACAAGCAAGCCGGTAAGTCTTTTTACAACACAAAACTCCAGGCCCTGTTAGATGTACTCCGTAAAAATGAATGGAATACTTGGGAGTAAGTCAACAAAAATGGACCTACTGCCAAATATTCTTTAGGTTCTCTTAACATGGAAAAGAGCCCCGTCCAAAAACTTGAAAGTCTAAAATAACACACGCAAGTTTGGAAAAACACTAACAGAGATTCTGGAATCCACATAAGTGATGAGTCTTACTGATGTTTCTTATGAGTATCAGCCAAGTGCTTTCTATCAGAAAAAAGATTTATGTGACAAAAAGGCACTCAAACCTTCATTAATTTTGCATTGCTCATTAATTTTGCAAAAAAAAAAAAATGTTTTCAAATTCTAAGGAGCACTGACCTGCTGGCACCACTTCAGTCAAAACACACCAATATATGCATCTCAAGAACTCCCTTTTTCCACACACTCCAGAATAGTTGAAATCATAGGCAACTTCTGTAGTAGTTTCCAAGTTACCCATTATGCCTTCTACTTGCTGCTAGAAACCCTCAGGTAACAAAGGTTGGTAGGTAATAAAGATTGGAGAGGGGTCTTAACAGTGATACAGAGAGGTACCCTATCCTATTCTAGGCTGAATTAGCTCACTCTTATGCTCAAAGCTCCCAGGGCATGACCTATAAGTACACCCTGTGCAACAACGTGCCTCTAGTCACGCACCCCTGCCTTGGAAGGGAAGTGCCCGAGGGATGTTACCGCATGGCAGTCTCCCAGGAGCAGCGCAGGAGGGCAGCCTTCATTAATTTTGCCCTTGTGCCAGTCCCCTTGTGCCAGTCCTAGAGCTTTCCCAAGGCGCCAGGGCCAGCGCCAGCCTTGACCCACACAGACTGCCAAGGAACCCGCACAAAGGGAAGTGTGGCATAGACTCCCTTTCCAGAGCAGCCTAACACTGGTGTCCAGGACCAACTGACCAAACATGTCTTGTTTTCTTGGATAACTTAGATGTACTTTAACAGAGGGTGTAACTCTAAAGACACCATTATATGAGATCAAAATATTAATAAAGCAGCTCTATCATGTTCAAAATACATTCAAAAAGACTAGCAAACTCAACATCAAGGAAAATTCAAGAAATGAGTACTGAAAATGAAGCAGAAAACACAGTGAGCATAGTAATCGTCAACAGAAGTGTCAGCCACGTTTCTGCATGCTTATTGCTTGCTTTATTTCGACAAGCAGGTCTACGTGTCCAACTACTATAATAGCACCCTGAACATCCCTGTACCATTTCCTGTTTACTTGCCAACACGAACAATGACATAGAAAATAGTCACCAGATGATTCCCGCACTGGGTGATCTCATAACTTCTAAGCAACCATACAAAGGAACCGTAACAGGAAGGTACCTGTAATACTTCAGCATGAAAAAGAACAAGACATCAAGAACAAGAACAAGTCAAGACATCAGCTCGCCAATTACTGAACAAATCTCCTTATCTTAAGGTTTTCAGCAGATACTTTCCAGTTCTATTTAGCTCTGACCCTCTACGGAGCAGGTGGCTAAAAACAGTTAAGACTACAACTACTTAACCTAGAATGAGAGCTAATTTGAATATCACTGTTAGTATCACAGATGTTCTATAGCATGAGCTTTATTTCATGAGAATATGGTTTAGAAAGTTTTATATTAAAAAAAAAAAAAAAAAAAAAAAGGAAAGGCTGCTGGAGAAACATTCATGAACCTCCTGTTTTTGAAGGTCTTTAGACTTAGTATTCTTGCAGTTTCTCCAATCCAATCAAAGTTTCCATGAGCAATGTAATCCTGTCAGGTTAGGATACTTCTGCCAAGATCCTAAAAGCCATTACTGATTTAATACAGACAAAGTGCTAAACAATATTAATAGGAACATTACAAACTCAAGAATGAGGCACTTCATTTTGTCATAAGGTTTAAAATTACATGTGCACTTGATATTTAGTTTCTTGATCCTGGTAAATTAAAGACAAAAACAACTGGCTCTCTCATTTACCCTCTTACTGCCATTAGCTGTTTCCACTGTCCTCAAAATAATTAAGAGCCCTACAATTAAGTCTTAATTACTACATGAGACTGAAATATTCTTCCTATCAAGGACACTGTACAAGAATCCAGAAGACACCTTGCAAACACCTTCTATTTTGGTCTAAATAGCACACTGCAGATTTGCTCATTACAATAACCTCAACTAATTAAAGTCAATGACCACTTTTCAAAGCTTTCTCTGTTCCATGTTTTGAAACAAGCAAAGAAGAAATATTTTTGAAGAGCCAATGCTAATATAAAAGGATAACAAATACATTTGCAGGAATTGCCAGTGCAACACTGGAACCGCAGTAGGAGAGCATAGCCGAACACTGCTACTGCAAGTGATTCAAGGTCCGAAATTGACAGAAACAAACAAAAACTACCACTAAATACCTGTAAAAGGAGGAAAAAAAAACCTACATTCTCATTACAGTGATTCTCCTTGACATTTAAAATTGCCCAACACAACATATCTAAGTCCCAAAGCAAGATAACTCTGTATTTTAAAGCAGAAACAATCTCTCATTGCCGAGAATCTAATTTTGTCATCTGAGAGAATCCAAGGTCAGCTTTTTTGTTTTTAGTACTACCTTGGGCTTACTTCCCTTAAGTTATATTATCTCCAAGATCAAGCTATGGAAGTCACCATGGGAACTCTTATTTATCACACAACCACAAAATACAGATTCCCAAAGTCTAACTACATCAGGTGGGAGGAAGATAGCTGCAGTTAAGCATTGAAGCATATTTTCTTTCATCTGATGAGCTGCATAAGGAACAAGCTACTAGACACATCCAAAGTTTGATCTGTGTATACTAGTTCTGTGTTACTAAACTTGCAGAGTTTTTCTTAAGAGAAAAAAGTTTATGCTCTCTCAAGTTGAACCACAGTCATGTTAATTCACATTTTTTTCAGTTTTCAGCTGGCTACTGCAGCAGCTTCCCCATCCTGGCCTCTGCCACTTACAAATCTAGATGCAGTCTAGCACCCCAGAACACCAAATACAGTGAACACACTGCTGTAAACAAAACCTATTCTCTTTTAACACTTTAGTAGCAATATCAACATCCAAATAGCTGACTACAGAAAAATAACATTTAAACCAGGAGTGGTCCCAAGGAAGGACTGCTTCTACTTGTTCCAAGGAAAACCATATTTTATTCCAGGCTTCTTTTAAATGAAAGACAAACCACACTCTGCATGCAGCCACACATTTATCTCTATGGATTTTTTTTCCTAAATATAGCATGTAATATGTCTAGAGGCCACACAATCCATGAAACATGAACCTGACTGACTTTAAAGGCAGTAGTGCAATTCATACCCTGAAGGCCCAGAAAGCTCCTGCTTCAGTCATAAGCCGTAGACCCTACGGATGCTGTCACAGCCCAGCCTCAAGGTCCTGCCTTTCCCAAGAAAAATGCTACAACAGCAGCAGTAGGAGTTGCCCAGGTTTCCAACCACTCCATTAAGCATATTGTTACCAAAACTAGTATTTCAAACTCATAGAGCATTCAAAAACCAAACTTCCTCAAAGTGCAAGCAAAGGTTTCTTCCATGAGGTCTCTATTTAACAGACACCACTAAGACAATATCTGGACCTTCCATTCCAAGATACACACATTTTCTCAATTATAACCTGTGCTTAAAGGAGCCCTGTGAACACACTATAAGCTAAAAGACAAGGACAACAAACAGCAAGTAGAATCTCTACCGGCCTCCCTTGTGCAGTTGCATTAGTTATTTAACCTTAATATGAGGAATATCATGGAGGAAGGAGGGGAAAAAAAAAAAAAAACCGCAACACACCACACACACAGAAAAACCCCACTACCTTCATTCACTCCTTTCCCAACCACGACCATTAATTTTCCTAAAACACCACTGTTTTAAGTAGTTTGAAGGATGGGCCTTGTTCTTAATCGCTGATATTGCATACAACACTAACCATCCAAAGGTTCATTTTTGAAGGAAGTCAATTAACCAATACAAGTTCCACTTGATTAACAATACAACAAGCTAAGAATCCAGAAGTAGAAAGTGTTTTTTCAGAAGCACCTTTTCCCAAATGTGATGAAAGTTTAATGTTGGACTGACTTCACATTACTGTCTATTCACAAACACAAATTGTGAGTTTGTCTTAAGCATTAAACATTTACTTTTAATCAAGAAAAAGACATTTGTATATGTAGCACAGTAAAACCAATACTGCTTTTATTGCATCTATGACAAACTAATATCACATTAACTGCTAAAGGAATCATCTAAAATATACATACTTCGTTTCTGCAGATAGACTGTCTTCCAAGTGACCTTTAATCTGCTCATATGTAAATAGCTCAGCATTTCCAGGGCTTCTAAAACAGTCTAACATGCTTAAACTGAGTAACACTTTTGACATAAGGAAAAACATGTGCTCTGCAATAGACCTAGTCCTAGTTCAGAAAAAAGAACAAGCAGAGGCCCCCCTCCCCCCCAAAAAAACAAACAAAAAAAAAACCACACACAATCGAAAAATCCAACAACACACAAAACCAAAGAAATAATCTCTCAGAAACACAGTTAAACTTACAGTTATCACCAAAAACTAGTAAAGAGATCTCTAAGTTAGTGACCATTCGGCTCATTCTTCTTTCTCTGGCTTTGATGGATGAGTTACAGAAGGGGGGAGAAAATAATGACAGTGCTTAGAAAACACAAGAACAAATTGCTTTCTGTTTCTCCTTTCCAGTTGTGCAAGTTCCAACAGCTTTATTAGCTAAAGCAAAGCATTGTGCCAGACCTCCAGCTCAGGAAAAACTCCTCTGCTTTGTGAATCTTTGCATCTAAACTCTAGGTTAAAAGCCTTTAAAAGAAATTGAACAGTTTCAGCTTTCAACTTCAGCTGTAAGCTCCAACTGTCTTAAGGGTATGGGAGCAATATTTCAAGTGTTACTAACACTGGGGAAAAAAGCATCTAATTAAACTCACTTCCATGGTGATGCTTGCAGATGATCTATAAAATGTTATTGGCAATAAAGTGAATGAGAGGGTAATTGTGCCAGCTGACAAAAGGCTCACTACAAAGTTAACCACTACAGGGTATTTTACCCCTCTGTCCCAACACACATCATCAGCCAGCTATTCTGTCTTATCACAGCAAGTCAGCCCGGGTGCAAAACTGGCAATAAATCTTTTGTACCTACATTCGAACACATCTAACCCGATTTGCCCAGTAGTAAGTTATTGCAACCTAATGGGGCTGGTCTTCAAAATTTGAAGAAAACAAAAAACACACACAGAGATCATATTGTCTTTATCTGTAATATGTTCATGTATTTTCCTCTCAAAACTGACAGTCTGAAGCAGAATGGTTTCATATAATGAAAATTTTAAAAGCAGTGATGAGTTTAAATTAAAAGGGGAAGGTTCAAAAAACTTAAAGGTTTTTTTTTTTTTTTTTAACATATGGAAAACTAGAATGCATTTGTTTGCCCAGACATGCTTTACGTGCATTTCTTGAACAATTTGCTACCAAGGACAAGGATTAAAAGCACCGAGCCAAAGATTTCCACCCAGCCTTTCCTTTCTCCCATTAAATCAGAGTTTGGCACAGAACCTTCCCCAGGGATGCCCTTATATGAACATGCCAGGAGCTAACTCTACATACAAGATGACCAAGGAAGATAAGTCTTTCTAGACTGCAGAAATGCTTGAGTGCCTAAAAATATGCTTTGACCACACAGACATTGGTTTGTGGAACACACCAGAGTGGAGACTGTTTTAATTAGGAATGTACCTTTGCGCCAGACCACGCAGCTCATGCTATTTCTTTATCTAAAAGACATAGGACACAGATGTGGATTTCAGCACGTTTTGCAGTCTAGTACAAGCCAAAATCATTAAGCA